CTCTCCTACTTCCTCTTTTATTTCATCACTCACCACGACTTTTCATTTGCTTTTCCTTCTCTCTTTCAGCTCCTCAGCAGATAATTTTTAAACTAAACAACAGCTGAACAATATCCCCACTGTTCCACATGTCTGAGTATGCACAGCACGTCCACGCTTGCCCAGAACAGCAGGAAAACACAATTTCTTCCATTTTATTTCTTTGCATCAAAAGTGATTAAATCTGTGTGCATGACCTTCATACATCAGGCCATTTGGCTATTTTTAAAGTCTGTTTATTAAAGTCAAGCCGCATTCTCTTTGCAGAAGAAATCTTTACCACTAAACGACGTGATAAATGCCAAGGGAACAATGCATCCTTTGTAGGGCAAGAGAGAGACACTGCCATCCCACAATTGCCAGATTGTTTAAATATTATACGGCAATTCATGCTAGTTACATATTTTTGTTGTTGTACAAGTATTTTCTTATTTGGGTTAAAGATGACATTTTGAAGGGATTCCTTTTCTTACAAGGTAGACTGGAAGACCCCATTGCATGGTCTAGTACATTCCATTTTGTTATGCCAGCCAGCAGTGTTTCCATTTTTTCATAAAGGGGTTTCAGCAATGAGGTAAAGATTGCAGATAATCTCCAGTAACTCAAGCCCCATGATACTTTATTTACTAAAAACTCTAGTAAAGCTTTCAGTAAAAAGTGGAGTGCTTTTCTTTTTGGTGAAACATCAATTCACAACAATTGTTTCAACCTTATCTGAATTATAAAGCTGAGTTGGCCATTTCAAAGTAGAGAGGAAAAAATGATGAAAACATTTTCATAGTAAAATATTGTTGGAAGAAAGTAAAGAGAAATTGTCCAGAATTACATTAGCACTCCCTACTTTTAAAGAGCAGAATCTGTGTACATGAGTTTCTTGCTTTGATGCCTGAGAGTTGAATGGTGAATTCATTCATTCATTTATCCAACAGGAACTGTCACCTGCTCTGTGCAGTACAGTCCATTTTTTTAAAATTTAATTTTTTTTCGAAATGAAATCTCACTCCGACACCCAGGCTGGAGTGCGGTGGTGCGATCTCGGCTCATTGCAACCTCTGCCTCCCATGTTCAAGCGATTCTCCTGTCTCAGCTTCTGGAGTAGCTGAGATTACAGGTAGGTGCCACTGTACCCAGCTTTTTTTGTGTTTTTAGTAGAGATGGGGTTTCACCATGTTGGCCAGGCTGATCTCAAACTCCTGACCTGAAGTGAACCACCTGCCTCGGCCTCCCAAAGTGCTGGGATTACAGGCGTGAGCCACCACACCCAGCCTCAGTGCCGTCGATTAAGGACTGGATATAAAGAAAAAAAGACATGTGGCCTGTCCTCACAAAGCTTATGATTTAGTAGGGAAGACAGACATGGCAGACCCATGTGACAGTCAAGGTGCTACGACAGAGAAGCACACAGAAAACTGGAGTAGAGCCCACCCTACACTGAAGAGGGTGGGACCGGGCAAAGTTGTCCATGTCTGTAATCCTAGCGCTTTGGAAGGCTGAGACAGGAGTATTGCTTGAGCCCAGGAGATTGAGACCAGCCTGGGCAACACAGAGATACCTCATCTCTACAAGAAGTTTTAAAAATATATTAACCAGGTGTAGTGGCACACACCTGTAGTCCCAGCTACTCAAGAGGCTGAAGCAGGAGGATCACTTGAGCCCAGGAGTTTGAGACTAGGCTGGACAATACAGTGAGACCCCATGTCTACAAAAAGTTTTAAAAATATATTAGCCAGCTGTGGTGGCACATGTCTGTAGTCCCAGCTACTCAAGGGGCTAAGGCAGAAGGATCGCTTGAGCCCAGGAGTTTGAGGCTGCAGAGAGATCATGCTACTGTACTCCAGTCTAGGTGACGGAGAGGCTCTGTCTCTAAAAATTAAAAAAAAAATAATAATTTTTTTAAAAGACAATGAGAATGCTCAGAAAGGCTTACTGGAGGCATCATGAAGGATACATGATGGTTAACTGATTGGAGAAGACAGAAATAGTGCTTAAAGTTCTCTCTGTTGCAAATCATAGCCTCATGCAAACTGGCTTACGTGCAAAAGAGAATATACTGGTTCTTGTACCTGGAAGGTCCAGGGAATTCTGGCTTCAGTCATAGCTGGACCCAGGATCTAGTAAGGAATCATCAGGGGTCTGCCCAACAGCATCTTCCTTCTTCCTTGCTGATAGAGCCCCAGATTTGTTCACCCTTAGTGGAGCTGCTTTGCCTTTCAGGAGGGACTAGGCTTAATGCATTACATTTGCAACAATCCTGTTTCCAACACAGTTAAATTCTGAGGTCCTGGGAGTTATACGTCAACATAGAATTTGGGGGTGATACAATTTAACCCTTAACACTCTGCTTTTCCTTCCTCCATTGCTCTGATCTCCTGCTGGTGTCTCCCGTTGGCTGGACCCATGTGGAGGGTATGTTACAGGAAAGGGGCCTGATCCAGACCCCAAGCGAGTTGTTGGATCTTGTGCAAGAAGGAATTCAAGGCGAGTCTGTAAAGTGAAAGCAAGTTTCTTAAGCAAGTAAAGAATAAAAGAATGGCTACTCCATAGACAGAGCAGCCCTGAGGGCTGCTGGTTGCCCATTTTTATGGTTATTTCTTGAGTATATGCTAAACAAGGGGTGGATTATTTATGCCACTTCTTTTTAGACTATACAGGGTAACTTCCTGACATTGCCGTGGCATTTGTAAACTGTCATGGTGCTGGGGGGAGTGTAGTAGTGAGGACACTCAGAGGTCACTCATTGCCTTCTTGTTTTTGGCCAGCTTCTTTACTGCAACCTGTTTTATCTGCAAGGTCTTCATGACCCGTATCTTGTGCCGACTTCCTATCTCATCCTGTGACTTAGAATGCCTTAACCGTCTGGGAATGCAGCCCAGTAGGTCTCAGCCTCATTTTATCCAGTCCCTATTCAAGATGGAGTTGCTCTAGTTCACACGCCTCTGACATTTCCAATAAGGACACAATCTGAAGGGCTTATACTTTACCATATGAATTTTGGGATGATACAATTCAACCCCTAACTCTCTGCCTTTCCCTCCCCCATCTCTCTGATCTCCTTCTAGTACCTCCCATAGGATGGACCCATCTGGAGGGTACAGGAGCCTGACTGATGTGAACTATGAAGAGCAGCTTCCTGAGGCACGGAGCAGGGGAGGGAGGGTGGAGCTGGAGGGGCAAAGAGGATTTCCAGGACACTTTGTAGCATCTTTCTTCTTGGGAAGGATCTCTCCACACCTCTAGCCTGACTTGGTTCTTAGCTCCTGCTATTTTAAAAGGAGATAGAGATTTTATCACCTGATTTCCATAACAATTCTCTAAAAGAAGTTAGTTGACTGGTATTCTTTGGGTTTCAAGAAGAAACTTTAAATAGAAATCGAAGACAGGATATCTGGTGCTCTGCCCCATTGGCAGGCTCAGCGTGTCTTCTCCCCATTACTCTGGGTTGTCTTTTCCCTTGTAGCTTACTAAGTATCTATCCCTTAGGAGCTGGATCCAGTTGCCTGTATTGAAAACTCAAGAACAGTGGTAATAAAACCAATGAAGTTTATTTCTCCTTACACATTCAGACGACCAGAGTAGGGCAGGCCCAAGCTGGTGCAATGGCTAAGGAAGTCAGCAAAGACACAGGCTCTTTCTGTCCCCTGCTTCACCATCCTCAGCACATGGCTTTGGCCCTCATGGCTAAAAGGGGCTGCTGGATTTCCAGCCCCACATCTGTGTTTCATTCAGTCTGGAATACTTGAAAGGAAACTTCAAGGAAGAAGGGGCAGCAGAAATCAGGAAAGCATAATTTTCTCAGCGGTCCCTGTTTCTATCTCATCAGGCAGAACTGTGTGACATAGCTGTCCCTTACCACATGGGAGCCTGGGAGATGTAGATTTTTGGCTGAGCTGATTGCCATTTGGAAGCAATCAGGTTTTTATTAATAAGGTTGAAGTGGAGGGTGATCTTGGGTGGAGAGCTAGCAGGGTCAGCCTCACTGCTGGTGGCACCTGTGTATGGGCGTCTCATTGGAAGGTGGCACTCAGACCAGAAGGACTGCTGTTTGGAGGATTTGAGTAGATTCGAGGTAAAGTAGTATATATACAATTACTCCTAAAAGAGAAGCACAGCCTAAATTTAAATAACAAAATCCTTTGATTCCAAAAGTATGTAATAAGCCCTGATATGAGCACTGGCTTTTATTAGTACCTGACCTCAGAAAATGTGCTTACTGAAAGACAACTAAAGAAATGTCTTTAAAATTCTCTGCCCAAGTTACTGTTTGTTGATGTTCTTATAAATCTCATAAAGGATCCATGCATATTTCATCTCACACAAGCAATCAATTAACCTCCTTTCCTTTGTCTTACTTAGACATGTGGGCAAAGTGAGAATATACAGTTGACTCCTAAACAATATGATGCCAAACCCTGTGCAGTCAAAACTCCACTTATAACTTTGGCCTCACGCAGTGGCTCACACCTGTAATCCCAGCACATGCCTGTAATCCCAGCCAAGGCAGGGCAGATTGCTTGGTTTAGGAGTTCAAGACCAACCTGGGGAATATGATGAAACCCCATCTCTACAAAAAAAAAAATTCAAAAATTTGCCAGGTTGGTGGTGTGTGCCTGTAGTCCCAGGTACTGGGGAGGCTGAGGTGGGAGGATCGCTTGAGCCTGGGAGGCTTCTGCAGTGAGCCTGGATCATGCCATTGCACTCCACCCTGGATGATAGAATGAGGCTCTGTCACAAAAAGAAAGCAAGAAAATCCACAAAGAACTTTTGACTTTTGCAAAACTTAACTACTAATGGCCTCCTGTCGACTAGTTGCCTTACCAGTAACACAAATTTTGTATATGTATTATATACTGTATTCTTATAAGCAAGTTAGTGAAAGAAAATTTATTAAGAAAACCATAAAAAAGAGAAAATACATTTGCTAGTCATTGAGTGGAAGTGGGTCATCATAAAGGTCTTCTTCCGTGCTCGTTTTGGCAGCACGTATACTAACGTTGGAATGTTAACAGAGAAGATTAGCATGGCCCCTGTGCAAGAATGACACGCAAATTCGTGAAGCGGTCCATGTTTTTTACGAAATGCTAACGAGAAGGGACAACTTAGAGAGGAATATGAGTAAACTGATGGAGCTGAAAAACACAAGAACTTTGCGAAGCATGCACAAGTTTCAACAGCCGAATTGACCAAGCAGAAGAAAGGATATCAGAGGTCAAGGATAAACTCAATGAAATAAAACGAGAAGGCAAGATTAGAGAAAAAAGCATAAAAAGGAATGAACAAAGTCTCCAAGAAATATGAGACTATGTGAAAAGACCTAATCTATGTTTGATAGATGTACCTGAAGGTGACAGAGAGGATGAATCCAAGCTGGAAAATACTCTTCAGGATATTATCCAGGAAAACTTCCCCAACCTAGCAAGGCAGGCCAATATTCAAGTCCAGGAAATACAGAGAACACCACAAAGATATTCCTCAAGAAGACCAACCCCAAGGCACATAATCGTCAGATTCACCAGGGTTCTAATGAAGGAGAAAATGCTAAGGGCAGCCAGAGAGAAAGGTCAGGTTACCCACGAAGGGAAGCCCATCAGACTCACAGCAGATCTCTCAGCAGAAACCCTATGAGCCAGAAGAGAGTGGGGGCTGATATTCAACATCCTTAAAGAAAAGAACTTTCAACACAGAATTTCGTAAACAGCCAATCTAAGCTTCATAAGTGAAGGAAATATAAAATCCTCTGTGAACAAGCAAATACTCAGAGATTTTGTCACCACCAGGCCTGCTTTACAAGAGCTCCTGAAAGAGGCACTACACTAGAAAGGAACAACCAGTACCAGCCACTCCAAAAACATACCAAATGGTAAAGAGCATCAACAAAATGAAGAATCTGCATCAACTAATGGGCAAAACAGACAGCTAGCATCAAAATGGCAGTATCAAATTCACACATAACAATATTAACCCTAAATGTAAATGGACTAAATGCCCCAATAAAAAGACACAGACTGGCAAATTGGATAAAAAGCCAAAACCCATCGGTGTGCTGTATCCAGGAAACCCATCTCACATGCAGGGATACACAAAGGCTCAAAATAAAGGAATGGAGGAAGATTTACCAAGCAAATAGAGAGCAAAAAAAAAAGCAGGAGTTGCAATTCTCATCTCTGATAAAAAAGAGACAAAGAAGGACATTACATAATGGTAAAAGGATTAATGCAACAAGAAGAGCTAACGATCCTAAATATATATGGACCCAATACAGGAGCACCCAGATACATAAGGCAAGTTCTTAATAACTTACAAAGAGACTTAGACTCCCACACAATAACAGTGGGAGACTTTAACACCCCATTGTCAATATTAGATCAACCAGACAGAAAATTAACAAGGATATCCAGGACTTGAACTCAGACCTGGAACAAGCAAACCTAATAGACATTTACAAAACTCTCCATCCTAAATCCACAGAATATACGTTCTTCTCAGCACCACATCACACCTACTCTAAAATTAACCACATAAATTGGAAGTAAATCACTCCTCAGCAAATGCAAAAGAATGGAAATCATAACAAACAGTCTCTCAGACCACAGTGCAATCAAGTTAGAACTCAGAATTCAGAAACTAACTCAGAACTGCACAGCTTCATGGAAACTGAACAACTGGCTCTTGAATGTTGACTGGAAAACAATGAAATGAAAGCAGAAATAAAGATGTTCTTCAAAACCAACGAGAACGAAGACACAACATACCAGAATCTCTGGGACACATTTAAAGCAGTCTCCCGAGGAAAATATATAGCAATAAGTGCCCACATGAGAAGAGTCGAGAGATCCCAAATCGACACCCAATCGTCAAAATTGAAAGAGCTAGAGGAGCAAGATAAAAAAAAAACTCAAAACCTAGCAGAGGACAAGAAATAACTAAGATCAGAGTAGAACTGAAGGAGATAGACACAGGAAAAACCCTTCAGAAAATCAATAAATCCAGGAGCTGGTTTTTCAAAAAGATCAACAAAATAGACAGACCACTAGCCAGAGTAATAAAAAAGAAAAGAGAATAACCAAATAGATGCAATAAAAAATGATAAAGGGGAAATCACCACAGATTCCACAGAAATTCAAACTATCATCAGAGATTATTACAAACAACTCTATGCACATAAACTAGTAAACCTGGAAGAAATGGATAAATGCCTGGACACTTGCCTCCTCCCAAGCCTAAACCAGGAAGAAGCCGAAACCCTGAACAGACCAATAACAAGATCTGAAGTCGAGGCAGCAATTAAGAGCCTACTACACAAAAAAAGCCCAGGTCCAGATGGGTTCACAGCCGAATTTTACCGGACACACAAAGAGGAAGAGCTGGTACCATTTTTTCTGAAACTATTCCAAATAATCGAAAAAGAGGGAATCCTTCCCAAATCATTTTATGAGGCCAACATCATCCTGATACCAAAACCCAGCAGAGACCCAACAAGAAAAGAAAACTTCAGGCCAATATCCATGATAAACATAGATGCAAAAATCTTCAATAAAATACTGGCAAGCCGATTGCAACAGCCCATCAAAAAACTTATCCATCATGATCAAGTAGGATTCATCCTGGGGATGCAAGGCTGGTTCAACATACGCAAGTCTATAAACGTAATTCACCACATAAACAGAACCAAAGACAAAAACCACATGATTATCTCAATTGATGCAGAGGAGGACTTTGACAAAATTCAACAGTCCTTTATGCTAAAAACCCTCAATAAACTAGGTTTTGATGGAATGTATGTCAAAATAATAAAGCTATTTATGACAAACCCACAGCCAATATCATACTGAATGGGCAAAAACTGGAAGTATTCCCTTTGAAATCTGGCACTAGACAAGGATGCCCTCTCTCACCACTCCTATTCAATATAGTACTGGAAGTTCTAGCCAGAGCAATCAGGCAAGAAAAAGAAATAAAGGGTATTCAAATAGGAAAGGAGGAAGCCAAATTGTCTCTATTTGCAGATGACATGATTGTATATCTAGAAGACCCCATCTCCTCAGCCCAAAAACTCCTGAAACTGATAAGCAACTTCAGCAAAGTCTCAGGATACAAAATCAATGTGCAAAAATCACAAGCATTCCAATACACCAATAACAGACTTAAAGAGAGCCAAATCAAGAACAAACTGTCACGCTCTCATTTTATCATCTCTAACAGGCTGTGCCTTAAAAAAAAAAAAAAAAAAAAGAACGAACTGCCATTCACAATTGCTACAAAAAGAATAAAATACCTAGGAATACAACTCACAAGGAATGTAAGGGACCTCTTCAAGGAAAACTACAAAGCACTGCTCAACGAAATAAGAGAGGACACAAACAGATGGAGAAACATTCCATGTTCATAGTTAGGAAGAATCAATATTGTGAAAATGGCCATACTGCCCAAAGTAATTTATAGATTCAATGCTATCCCCATCAAGCTACCAATGACCTTCTTCACAGAACTGGAAAAAAACCACCTTAAACTTTATATGGAACCAAAAGAGAGCCCGCATAGCCAAGTCAATTCTAAGCAAAAAGAACAAAGCGGGAGGCATCGCACTACTGGACTTCAAACTATACTACAAGACTACAGTAATTGAAATAGCATGGTACTGGCACAAAACAGAGATATAGACCAATGGAACAGAACAGAGGCCTCAGAGGCAACACAACATATCTACAACCATCTGATCTTTGACAAACCTGACAAAAACAACAATGGGGAAAGGATTTCTTGTTTAATAAATAGTGCTGGGAAAACTGGCTAGCTATGTGCAGAAAGCTGAAACTGGACCCCTTCCTGACACCTTACACTAAAATTAACTCCAGATGGATTAAAGACTTAAACATAAGACCTAACACCATAAAAACCCTAGAAGAAAATCTAGGCAAAACCATTCAGGACATAGGAGTAGGCAAGGACTTCATGACCAAAACACCAAAAGTATTGGCAACAAAAGCCAAAATAGACAAATGGGACCTAATCAAACTCCACAGCTTCTGCATGGCAAAAGAAACAGTCATTAGAGTGAATCGGCAACCAAGAGAATGGGAAAAAATTTTTGTAGTTTACATATCTGACAAAGGGCTGATATCCAGAATTTACAAAGAACTAAAACAGATTTACAAGAACAAAACAAACAAGCCCATTCAAAAGTGGGCAAAGGATATGAACAGACACTTTACAAAAGAAGACATACATGAGGCCAACAAACATATAAAAATATACTCATCATCACTGGTCATTAGAGAGATGCAAATCAAAACCACATTGAGATACCATCTCATGCCAGTTAGAATGGTGATCATTAAAAAATCTGGAGACAGATGCTGGAGAAGATGGGGAGAAATAGGAACACTTTTACACTGCTGGTGGGAGTGTAAATTAGCTCAACCATTGTGGAAGACAGTGTGGCGATTCCTCAAGGACCTAGAAATAGAAATTCCATTTGACCCAGCAATCCCATTACTGGGTATATATCCAAAGGATTATAAATCGTTCTACTATAAGGACACATGTACACGAATGTTCATTGCAGCACTGTTTACAATAGCAAAGACCTGGAACCAACCCAAATGCCCATCAATGATAGACTGGACAGGGAAAATGTGGCACATACACACCATGGAATATTATGCAGCCATCAGAAACGATGAGTTCATGTCCTTTGTAGGCACATGGATGAACCTGGAGACCATCATTCTCAGCAAACTGACACAAGAACAGAAAATGAAATACCGCATGTTGTCACTCATATGCGGGTGTTGAACAATGAGAACACATGGACACAGGGAGGGGATCACTATACAGTGGGGTCTGTTGTGGGGAATAGAGGAGGGACAGCGGGGGGTGGGGAGTTGGGGAGAAATGCCAGATATAGGTGAAGGGGAGGAAGGCAGCAAATCACACTGCCACGTGTGTACCTATGCAACTATCTTGCATGGTCTTCACATGTACCCCAAAACCTAAAATGCAATTAAAAAAAAAATCAAAATAGCAAAAAAAAAAAGTCTTCTTCCTTATCTTCAGGCTTAGTACGCCAAGGAGGAGGAGGAAGAGGAAGGATTGGTTTTGCTGTCTCAGGGGTGGCAGAGGTGGAAGATGTAGATGGGGCAGGAGAGGTAGGCACACTTGGTATCAAGTTTTAACGAAAAAAAAGTTGTGTATGAGGACGGAGACCCTTAATCACCCTTAAGCATCTAAGACCACCTCCCCCTTGACTTCTACATTGCATTTCAACAGGGGAAGTAAAGGCTGGCAGACCAGGCACCACCTTTAATCGCCCTCGTATAGATTGCCCGCAAGGTATGGAGGAGTCTTCCCAGAAGGCACTGTTTGTGCCTAAACAAGATCAAACCCCCCACTTAAGTCACATACCCCACGCCTGCCTCATGGATCAAGACCCTTTCACATGTAATTTCTAGAGTTTTAAGCCTCTAAAAAGGCAGGGATTTTGTTTGTTAGGGCAGCTTGGCTGTTAGGCAACTATGCTGCTGCTCCCGGCCGAATAGTCACCTCTTCCTTCCCAGTTCCGTGTTTGAGAGGTTTGTTTTGCAGCCTACAATTAGTCAGGTGCAGTTCAAACCCACGTGGCTTAAGGCTCAACTGTAACTTAATGATCTCTTCTCTCCTTAGAGGAAAAGAACCAAATTCATTGCCTGTGATTTTCTGACTGAGTGGTTGTACAAGTAAGTTGTTCATGTCTGAGTATTGAGTGATCCTAAGAATTCAATCATGTTAATTTGCAAGCAGAATAGCAACAACTGACTTGAATTCTTTCTTTTTGTTTTCTCGTCAATCAAACACATGGCATCGTGATCAGCCAAAATCCCAAGAGGGCAGGGGAGCCATTCACAGAATTCTTCTCCATTCCATTTGTGGAGGAGTGGCTAGGACAACAGTAAGTATGGCACAAGGCTTTGAATAATTTATTTCTAGTTTAAGATTGTGTTAATAATAGTTTTCTTCAATCCAAGAGAACTGATGTAATCCATCCAGGACTCTGGGCCATCATATTTGTGACTCTTGTCTCTAGTTATTCTTAGCCTAGGCTAACCTTATCCTAATCATGCCAGTAACTTCATTCAAGCAGCACTCCAGAAATAAAATAGAAAACTTAAAAAACAAATTTATCCTAAGTAATTTATCCCTCCATTCCCTTCATTTTTTTTCTCTCTCTCTCTCTGAAGGTCACTATGTCTCAGGAAATTATATGACTAAGCTTTTCTAAATACTTAGAAAATACTAAGAAAGCTTAAATAATAAGTTGTCTGCATCAATCCTCCATCTACAATATTAGAACATGACAGATAAAATTAAAACTCTTTGACCATTCTAATGTGGGTTTCCTCCCCACATTGAGGTAATCAGTTCAGTCTACAGTGCAGCCTTCCAGACCTCTTAGTTATTTCACTATTTAAAATTAGTTTATATCCGGCTGGGCACAATGGCTTATGCCTATAATCCCAGCATTTTGGGAAGCCAAGCTGGGCAGATCACTTGAGGTCAGAAGTTCGAGACCAGCCTGGCCAACATGACGAAACCCCGTCTCTATTAAAAATAACAAAAATTAGCTGGGTGTGGTAGCCTGTGGCTGTAATCCCAGCTACTTGAGAGGGTGAGGCAGGAGAATCACTTGAACCTCCTAAGAGGTGGAGGTTGCAGTGAGCCAAGATTATGCCACTGCACTCCAGCCTGGGGGACAGAGCAAGACTCTGTCTCAAAAAAAAAATTTAGATTCTCGGCTCTCACTTGTCACAGATTTTGCTTAAATCCACCCTCTTTGAGAATGGCAAGATAAATAGACCCCTGGCTAACTTTTGCAATTTTGAGAATTAAAAAAACTCCATATATTACCAGTTCAAAAAAAAATCTGAGATTACACATTGAAAGGACAGCAACGTCAGAAAACCTCGTTTCTTATTTAGCTTTTGAAACTGTGGCTGATTTTATCTGCTATGAGATGTACAGCCCAAAACGTATTGATCTGCATGCATTTTTCTAAGGCAGTTTCTTTAACTATCATTCTCCAAGTTGCTCTTTGAAGAGAAAACATTTTTCCATGTGTAATAACCGATGAAAAATAATCTTAAGAATAAGAAAACTTCTCTAATAACGAACAATAAATGAATCCTCTAGGATTATAACTATCCCGTAAAGCAGTAGCGGTCATTTCAGCTGCACTCCACAGGAACAGAAGCACAAGAGCTGTTACTTTAACTGGCATTTGCATCCTCTACATCCATGGTCTTTCAACGAGATGCCCAGATGCATGATAAAAATTAAAGTGACATTCATCTATTTGATTTAATGACTGTCTCTTGAACACCTACCCAGTTCAACTGCACAGAGCTGGGCGCTGTGGAAAAAACAGAGATGAATAAACTATGGCCCTGGCCCTTGGGGTGAGGACGACGTGTTTACAACTTGCTGTAGTTTCTGTAGTGAGTGTTGTAATACAAATGTTAACAAAGCATTAAAGGGAAGTGGGGAAGCATGAGACCGTCCACGTGCCCTTCCTGGTGGGCCTGGAGCCAGCCCAGCTGGGGCAGCGGCCAAGTTGGTTGGTGCCCAGATTTGGCCCAAGGCAAGAACTGAAACTCTACATTCTTCTTGTCTCAAGCAGGAATAGCCAGAGAAGCAAGTATGAACCAAAGTTCTTAAGGAGAGCAAGAGCGGGAGCTGGGAAATAATATCCAATCCAGGTTGTCTCAACCTCAGCACTCTACTGACGTTTAGGACTGGATAATTCTTTGCTGTAAGGAGCTGACCCGTGCATTGTACGATGTTTTGCAGCATCTCTGGCCTCCACCTTCTAGATGCCAGTAGCACCCTCCTACTGTTGTGACCATCAGGAATATCTCCAGACGCTGAAGTATGTCTCCAAGGAGAGTGAGGCAAATTGCCTCTGGCTGAGAACCTCTGATTTAGTTCAGTAGTTTCAAAATTTTAACTTTACCCAACACTTTGGGAGGCCGAGGTGGCCAGATTGCTTGAGGTCAGGAGTTCGAGACCAGCCCGACCAAAGCAGTAAAACCCCATCTCCACTAAAAATACAAAAATTAGCCAAGTGTGGTGGCATGTGCCTGTAATCTCAGCTACTCGGGCGGCAGAGGCAGGAGAATCACTTCAACACGGGAGGCGGAGGTTGCAGCAAGCCGAGACGGTGAAACAGGGAAAGTTCCCTTGCCCCTCTTGCATGGGGCAGTGCAACAGGAGCAGTGCCTGGCTTCTTCAGTGGACGGTGCTCAAACCTCTAGGGGAGCATACAGACAGGCAGGCTGTGAGGCTCTGGCCCCACTGCAGTGTCTAGAGGTGAATGTCTACAGCTGAAGAACCAGTGCGGGTATATTATAGGGTGCTCTCTTAGTGTGCCATCTATAGGTGGCTGTGTTAACCAGCTCAATTAGACCCTCTACCTTGTCGCAAGGACAGAGATTTCCGTATCCCAGGTTCTGGGTTCTTGCCTTCGTGTACCAGAAGAATCAGATCACACGTGGGCTTCAAGAATGAGTGCAAAGTTTTATTGAGTGGAAGTAGCTCTCAGCCCATGAAAGAGCCAGAAAGGAGATGGTTTTCCCCACAGAGTTGGGTGGTTCGGGGGCCTCCCTCAGCTCTACTCCAACTAACTGCCCTGGCCTAACTCCGCCTTGTCCTGGCAGGTGCTGGTGCCCATCAGTGTGCTCTTCTGCCAACGTGCTCCTCTCAACATTCTCTCAATGGACTGCTGCTTGCATCTTCTTCTGCTGATGTGCTCTTCTCAATGTCTGGCTGCCTGTGTGTCTGCTCACTAGGGTCTCAGGTTTTTATAGGCCCAGGATGGAGGCGTGGCAAGCCACGGTAGTCTTGGGAAATGCAACATTTGGGAAGGAAATGCCTGTTCTCATCTAGGTCTGTGTGTGTGAAGCCCTAGGCAGGGACCATGCCCACATCTACACAGCACTTCCCTTCCCCCTTCCGTATCATTTAAAGGGACCACGCTCTTCCCTTCCCAGCACTCCTGTATCAGTGGTGCCACTGCACTCCAGCCTGGGTGACAGAGTGAGATTCCATCTCAATAAATAAATAAATAATCACCCAGGGACCTTTGGAAAAATATTGGTACCTAACTTCATCCAGATTGATTAATTTATAACCTTCAGGCATAGCCTGGGCGTTGACATTTTTTTTTTTTTTTAAGCTTCATAGGTAATTCTAATATTTAACCGGGAGCTTATCCATCCATAAGACAGAATAAAGTGCTGCATCCAGGAACTAATAAATAGTATAACTGAGCCATTGCTTCACTAACTGCTTTGATACATGCCGTCTCATTTCATCTTCATAACAACACTAGGATGTAGGTCTAAAGCTGAGAGCCTACAGCTGGGAAGTCGACCATGAAGTGAGATGGGTCTTGGGCAAATAAGGTGATTACTGGGGCACAAGTATTATGGATGGACATTTTGAGTAGGGCTTAAAGGTACAGATTGGAGGAAGATGACTTTCGAGGGGGAGACTCTGTCAAGGCTTTTTAAAGGAAGTGAAATATAAACTACAGTAGTACTTCAGGCAGTGTTGAATTAAGAGCCTGAGCTTTGGCCAGGTGCAGTGGCTCAAGCCTGTAATCCCAGCACTTTGGGAGGCCGAGGTGGGTGGATCAAGAGATCGAGACCATCCTGGTCAATATGGTGAAACCCCGTCTCTACTGAAAATACAAAAAATTAGCTGGGCATGGTGGCGTGTGCCTGTAATCCCAGCTACTCAGGAGGCTGAGGCAGGAGAATTGTCTGAACCCAGAGGCAGAGGTTGCGGTGAGACGAGATCGCGCCATTGCACTACAGCCTGGGTAACAAGAGCGAAACTCCGTCTCAAAAAAAGAGCTTGAGCTTTTGGGATGGATAAACCAGTATTCAAATCACCACTGTCTGGATGCAGTGGCTCATGCCTGTAATCCCAGCACTTTGGGAGGCTAAGGCAGGTGGATCACCTGAAGTCAGGAGTTTGAGACTAGCCTGACCAACATGGCAAAACCCTGTCTCTAGTAGAAATTCAAAAATTAGCTAGGCATGGTGGCATGCATCTGTAATCCCAGCTACTTGGGAGGCTGAGGCAGAAGAATTGCTTGAACCCAGAAGGCAGAGGTTGCAGTGAGCTGAGATTGCACCACTGCACTCCAGCCTGGATAACAGAGTGGACTCTGTCTCAAAAAAAAAAAAAAAAAACCAAACAAAAAAAGAAACAAACAAAGAAAACTATGGCTTACTAATCCTATGACCTTGGGCAAGTGTTTATTTATCTATTACTATGTAACAAATTGCCCCCAAACCCAGTGGCTTAAAGCCATGAATATTTATTATCATATAGTTTCTCTGGGTTAGGAATTTGGTAGCAACTTAGCTGGGTGGTTGTGGTTCAGAGTCTCACATGAGACTATAGTTAAGATGTCACAGGGGGTGCAGTCATCTGAAGGCTCAACTGGGGCTGGAGGTTCTACTTTTAAGATGGTGCACAAACATGGTGCTCATTGTTGTTTGGAAGCCTTAAATTTTCCCCATCTGGGTCTTTCCATGGGCTGCTTGAGTATCCTTATGACATGGTGACTGGCCGCCTTCGGAGTGAAAGATTTGGGTACAAGAAGGAAGCATGGTACCTTTTATCACCTAGTCTTATAAGTAAAAAATCTCCATTTCCATCACATTATATTAGAAGCAGGTCACCAAGTACCACATTTGAGGTTTAATAACTAAGCTCTACTTTAAGGAGGGAAGAGTGTCAAAGACTGTGTGGACATATTTGAAAAGCATCACAGCACTTCTGTCTCTAAGCATCCAGTTCTTTATTGGTAAATGTGGTGGTTGTGAAGATGCAGTGAAATGATACAGCTACAAATGGGATCGTGAACAAGCCCAACCTATAGTA